CTCTCTCTCTCTCTCTCTCTCTCTCTCTCGTGTGTCTGTGTGGCTTTCTTTTCTTGTCTTTTGCTTGCCCTCATGCACCCAAACAAACACGGTGCATCCGCGGTGGGAAAATGGAAACGACGAAGGCAAGATGATAACTCAATCACCGACGAAGATAATGAGTACGACCTCGCAGGACATCAAGCATAATACAAAAGAAAAAGAGAAAGGAATCTTAACTTCCTCCCATCAGCACTGATGGAATGCCTGCAAGCAGTCCAGCCCAGCCTGTGTATATAATTATCCATAAAATAAGTATCGATGAAGAGGGAACTTGACATCCATGGCCACCTGCAAGTTACGAGCCACAACCAAAGAAAGACCAGTCAGAATGGATATTTCCCAGGCGAAGATTTCGCTACTTAACATGGCATTCCCGGCAGTTCACGAGTTCCACCAGCTCCACAGCCACCCCTAAAAGTAAGCAGCATACTGTGCAGCAACTAGATCATTTTGACAAAAAGTTCCGATACCAGATAAGCTGTTCTCGGTAAACATCCTCTAACATCTGTGTGTGTGTGTGTGTATGTGAGAGAGAGAGAGAGACGATGTGGAGGAGGTGGAGGTGGAGGTGGAGGTTGAGGCGGTGGCAGTTTCTCGGCGTCGTTGAAGATCAACGAAAAAAAGGGGAGAAAACCGGGCCACATAGAGGGCGCAAAGTACAAGCGACGAGAACGTGGAGGAGAGAGAGAGAGAGAGAGAGAGAGAGAGAGAGAGAGAGAGAGAGAGAGAGAGAGAGAGAGAGACCCTGTGCCAGAGGGAAGTGAGTTCGTGAAAAGTAGCTTAACCGCATCTCGTCTACTTACCCTACCGTCTTCACCCGAATAGAACGCCCGGTCATTATAGCTGCATTTGGCACAGCTTTCGGTCCAGATGCAGCGATAATGACCGGGCGTTCTATTCCGGCGAAGACGGTAGTGTCCTCGATAGGGCCAGGAATGGCAGTTGGAAAGTCTCTGCACATGGGGTTGTGCATTTGCAGCGAATTCTTTCAGCGCTCGTGGTCCGCGTCACGGTCGGGCATGGCTTTCACTCCGAGCAACGAGAAAGCACATTTACATCCGTCTTGAGCTTTCAGCAGTCCAGCTTAGCGTCATTGCGTCCGACAGATTTAGAACTCTGTTCAATAGATCGGAGTCTTTGAAAAAAAAAAAAAAAAAAAAAAAAAAGATTTAGAACTACGTTACAGGTCTCTGCTTCTCGAACAAGCAGCGTGTAAACCTTCTCCTTGTTCCAGTCCATTTAACTCCCCTTCGTTGCCACATTGCGTCAAACAATTCTTTCTTTTTTCCTTCTTCTTCTTTTTTTTTTAAAGAACATGCTCCAATCTATTCGTGGGGAGCAACGGAAGGTGGAAAAGTCCGCAAGAAGAAGGAAACAGAGAGGGAGGGGGTTCAGACAAGGACTTGACGTGACTGATTTCAACACGGTCGACAACCAGGTGGGTCTAAGAATAACAATCAAGGAGGAAGACGAAGGAGATGCATTCCTGGCTACGCAGATGTGACCCAAAAAGTAGGTTGGAACGTAGAACTGTATCAACGAGCAGCAGGAGTGTGGCATCAACGACGATGCTCTTCCCTGCAGTCCCAGAAAGCGAAAGATCTGATCCGAGGCAGTAGAGTGCTCAATGAACAGCTAAAAAGTAGCACAATCTGCCTCACAACAACATGACCCTTGTTGCATGCATATGAGAGAGGGATTCTCTAATTCCAAGTTAATTGGCAATGGATAAAACAAAGGCGTGAAGAGACTTCGTTTTTTTTTGTTTGTTTTTTTTTTTTTTTTTTTTTTTTTTTTTTTTTTTTTTTTTCCAAGAACTTCGGGACATCCGTTAAAATTGGAACGATACAGAGAAGGGTAAAATAGCAAATGGTGGTCCCTGCGCAAGGATGACACGCATAAATCGAGACTTAGGTCTGTCTGGTCATCTGAGTTAATTCGTTGTTGACAGCCTTTTGCTGTCTTATTACCTTTTCGATCAGGTCTTCATCTATGTTACATCGGTAGTTCGCTCGGGAGTCCAAGGGGTCGGAACCACTTTTGGAGAGCAGATTTGTCGCCACAAGCGTGGATATCTGCATGAAGACGTCGGCCGACAACTCCATCCCTCCATCAGATAACCTGCCTTCTGGACACCCCCCTCGAGCAAGGCCAGACAGATTCTCCCGTCCCCAGACCGAATTCTGGTCAAGGTTCATTTCCACAATGCACTTAAAGATTGCCAGCAACCGTTCCAGCGGAAATGCACTCGGACCTCGCATGCGCTTCTCCTTGATTGCCAGCTCCTGTCTCTCTTCCGCTTTGAGCACCCTGAAACACATTCATAATCAGCCAACCCCACCGCAATAACATTCAGTCAGTCTCGATTGTCTCAAACTTGTCAACGTACGTGCATGTTTGACATGCCTTTTCTTACAACGGCAACAAATAAGGTCAGCCATCTCACACCCGCGTCATCGCCATGCTTGCAGGAGAAACAAACAGCTCTCTCTCTCTCTCTCTCTCTCTCTCTCTCTCTCTCTCTCTCTCTCTCTCTCTCTCTCTCTCTCTCTCTCTCTCTCTCTCTCTCTCTCTCTCTC